GTTCTTTGACATTACACGAAATGTTTTTGATGCCGATGTTCTGGATGGGGAAAGGGACGTCAGAGATTGGACTCCTTGATTTTGAACGTATGAAAGGCTTTGCATTCTTCTTGTCGCAATCCGAAGATGTCGCGAAAGTTACGCAGAAGATGTGGCGAGTAAGTTGAAGCTCAATCAATCTAGATGGAGAATGGCGCTAACTCTTTAGACTATTGACTGGTGTTACATCTTCTACGCTTTGAATTATCAGATCTCCGCGATCCTGCTTGCAACCACAACGAATTGGTATCTGATCCAATCTCTTGTCACCAACCTTTTCTGGATGTTACCATGGGCAATCGCCGTCACTGAAATCGGCATGACGCCTTCGAATGCTTGGAAGTATCCCTCCATAATTTTCGGCGGCTCTCTTGTCTTTTCCTTACTGAATCTTTGTGTTATTCTTGCACTTTGGGCATGGTTTCTGAAAAAAGGCAAAGTGAGCTTGGCTTCGGTGACCAAATCTGTTTGAGGAAGGTAAACACTTGTCACCTTCCTGTAGCGCAATTATTGGGCATCATTCTGCTGCGATGGCCGCATTATGTAGTTGCCGGAGTAAACAAGCCATGAATACAGCTCAAATCTTGCCGATAAGGAAATTCCTGTTGCATCTATTCGTACCTAGCTTTCGACGGTATCGAGATAAATGCAATAGAGAAATGCCGCATACAATAGAAGCAAGTCATGCGCGCTGCAACGCTGCCTGATAGGATGTAGTCAGAAAGAGGGAATCCGATACGCTCCCTGTCAACGTACCTCTTGGTCCTTGGAGGCTAGACACCTGTACAAAGGGCCTTGATGTATACACTGCATTCAGCTATGTTCTGTATACCTCAACAGGCAACGGATTTGTCATTCGTCTTTTCCGTGTGAAATTTTTTTATGCCTCTGGGAGTGAGTTTAAAGAACATAATCCTGGACGAAGGATGCAAGATATCGTTCTCATCACAATCAGAACTTCAATGACTTGAATCACAAAAGTCTTGAAGCTAATTGTTAGGGTAGTTTCTCTGTCAAAGCAAAGCTAGGCCATAATTTGAGCTCGGAGATAGGCCAATCATTTCGAAGCAGACGCTCCAAAACGCAATACCTTGCAAACGCATGCATAGAAAGATGAAATGGGGATTTTGCACAGACATGAATCCATATACTTCTATGTGCAAGCGCGTGTGGCTCAACTTCAGGGAGTAGCCTTTTCCGGAAGGAGGTAACAATGATAACGCGGTTCTCCTCAAGATGGTGTGACAGATGGCAGAAGAGGCGTCGAGGTGGGATCGGGCCAACGGTACTTGGACCACGGTTACTGCATATTGGTGTCGACTTACTGTATCGCATGGTCGTGTCCGCGCATCTACTATGGTCTCTGAATGGCACGTGTGATCTCCGGGCGTATGTGGACGGGAGTAGGCGGATACTGTAAGCGAGGTCGATCGAAGGGGCCAACATAAATGTTCCGTCTGCTGGAGCTCTACTATCACCAATTGAGTTCGACTAATAATATTTGCTGCGGAACAGGAATTAGTTCTCCCAACATGATAATTTAATGCTCAGATCTACTCTTCCAAGCTGTCGCATACCCCTTAAATCTCGCCACTGTGTTACACAACTAGGTCTTAGCTTAATTCAGCTGTCAAATCAACCGCCTGATGAGCATTCTTGGCACCATGCCTTCATTCGAAGGATCGCGAATTACACAGCACACATGGCTTGCCCTGTAAATGCCAAGAAGGAACGTGTATGATAAGCAACCACGATTGCAAGCGAGCTATCTCGAAGTAACGCTAGAGGGGGGTGCAAGGCCGACTACAATCGGAAGCCGAAGAAAACATGAAATCAGTTGACTTGAAGATCCAACTGCCAATTTCGATCTAAGCACGACATTTGCTATTGCCAATTCGAATTTGAGCCCCTGCCATGTATTTGCTAAGCCTGTCCCTTAACCAATCCTCTCCAGGTATGATGAGCTGGCTCGGACGCAGCCTTGTTCAGGAAGGTTGATGGCGAATCGATGGCGATATACTACCCCAGGAGTTCCAGAACATCTTTCGAATCCTTATCAATGTGCATACCAGGTTGTGAACATTGCCCACATGCTTCAATGCTTGGTTTGTGCCCTTGCTGCTTTCATGCAGACGTCTATCCAACCAGGTATCTTCCCAACTTCAAATGTCTTGTCACATTCCCTTTTAGCTCACAATATGTCAGGCTGAAGATGTCCTGCAGTAATCAGGCACACCGAAGCTTAAAGTCCATCTCATGTTTCTGTTCGATCGGAACCCACGTTAGCTCGTGATCGATATACTGGCTAGCCTCTTGTTATCGTCCCTCATTCAGACTTTTGGCTTCTAACGCAGCCTCTTGTGAGGCCTTTTTTTTCAAAAATGCCTATCACAAGCGACAAGAAAACATGACTCCACAATTTTCCGATGGGTGCCGAGTTGAAGGCGGGCACTCAGTCGACTGTCAGCGCTTGTGGCGTTCTAGAGCTTCCTGTTCAACGATGGCCTCCCTTCAGATCATCGAAAAAGATGACAATTCGAGAAGGTGTTCAGCGGTCCAAGAGAATTGGGGGATGATTCTGGTGAATTTCACAATTCACAGGCGTCTCGGCTCTTCGCAGGTCATTTTCGAATTGGGAGCTGTAGTACTACACTTTGTAGCTGGAACAATATGGCATCAGGAAATATAAGAACAAGACAAAGCCCCATTAGATTCAGTTACTCACCCCTCATCTCATCTTCTTCAGCTTCATCTGATCAGACTCCTCTCGTCTCCATCTCGTCTTCATCTCAAAGGTCCTTCTTTAGCCCATCATGGTCTCTTATCTTGGTCGTCTCGCAGCTTTGGCTGCTGTCGTTGTTCCAGCTGTCTTTGCTGCCCCTTCTCCTGTCAACCTCAAGATCCGCAATCTTGATGCTCGTGATATCGTCAAAGATTCCTACATTATCGTTTACCAGAAGGACATCACTGCCGAGGCTTTCTCAAGCCACCTCGAGGAAGTGAAGTCCATGGTCTCGAAGCGTGATGTTGGGGGCATTGGTGCTACCTACGATATCGGTGACTTTAAGGGATACGAAGTGGTCGCCGATGTTGCCACTCTTGGTAGAATTGCCTCTTCCCCAGATGTATGTACTCCAGCTCAAGACACTTAGACTTTACTAACAGTATTAGGTTGCCTACGTTGAGAAGAATCAGAAGGTTTACGCCTCTGCCCTTACATCTCAGACTGGGGCCCCGTGGGGACTTGGCCGCATCTCCCATAAGAACCAGGATTCTACAACTTACGTCTACGATTCTACCGCTGGATCTGGAACCACCGTCTACGTTGTCGACACTGGTATTGTGACCACCCACACCCAGTTCGGTGGACGTGCCACTTGGGGAGCAAACTTCGCTGACAGCTCTGTAAGCCAGCACTTGCTCCCGTGTCTGATCTTTGCTAACATCTCAGAACACTGATGGTAACGGACACGGTACTCACTGCGCTGGTACCATCGGAGGATCAACTTACGGTGTCGCCAAGGCTGCTAAGCTCGTTGCCGTCAAGGTTTTGGGCTCAGATGGAAGCGGAACCAACGCTGGTGTCATCTCAGGTATCCAATGGGTTGCCAACAACGCAGGAGCTAAGTCCGTTTTGAGCATGTCTCTTGGAGGGGGATCTTCTTCGGCCGTGAACACTGCTGTCCGCAATACTATCGCTAAGGGTGTCACCGTCGTTGTCGCAGCTGGTAATGATAACAAGAACGCCGCAAACTACTCCCCCGCCTCTGGTTCGTAACATTCCCTTCCCGATTATCAGTGATCTTGAATCAGGATCAACTTTACGATACAAATCTTGAGACACTGAAATTTCAGCATGCTAACTTTCTGATCAGAGCCTTTGGCCATCACCGTAGGCGCAATTGATATCAATGACAACCGCGCCACATTCTCCAACTTCGGATCCGTTGTCGACATCTTCGCCCCTGGAGTCAACATCCTCTCCGCATGGAAGGGATCCAACTCTGCCACCAACACCATCAGTGGAACATCCATGGCTTGCCCCCACGTTGCTGGTCTCGCCGCTTACTTGATCGGACTTGAGGGTCTTTCCACCCCAGCTGCTGTCCAGTCTCGCATCAAGGCTCTTGCTACGTCTGGCAAGGTTCTCAGCCCAGGTAGCGGATCTCCCAACTTGATTGCCTACAACGGTAACGGTGCTTAAATTACCGAGTTTTATCGAGTTTTGGGATAAAGATGAAGTGGGGTCGAGGTCGTGAGGAGAGGGATGAAGTCGAGTTCCTTTTTGTATTGAAGACGGATCATCAAAGATGGAAGCATTTTTATTCTTGTGTAGGTAGGGTCCACACGTCCAAGAAGGGGCACGCACTTCATAGAAGAAATACCAAATTGTATTTTTCAATATCTTATCCAAAGTGCTGTGAAGAAATTTGCAATGGTAATCGTTAGTATCACTCTGTCGTAGCACGTACAGTCAATTAGTCTGCGTGAGCCAAAGAGCAGTAATAGTTATGGTGTAGTATCAATTGTATCGTGGCTACAGAATCTAGGTAGTCGAGACTCCGGGAGGGAGATATGTCTGGCCGGCTAAGCCCCGGCCTAGATACTCGACTAACTCGTGACTATGGACCAACAGTAGTTTTTCGTTCTTTTCCCAAATTACTTTGCATGAGTAGTCACAGGTTATTTCGAAGTAATGAGAACATTTATTTTCTCATTTGGAAACTACCTAATAAATGGGGCCCGACAAAACTGGCGAGAGATCTGGCTTAGGAAAAGACCTCGAGCCCAAAACGCTAAAAAGTAGTACTAGCAGCCTAAAATATGCTGCGATTTCAATGTAGTATTCTCAGTAAATCAAACCTCTACAGAATTCCCTCTCGTATACACCATATAATGACTACCCTTCCCCCCCCCCCAAAGAACGAGCGGCCAAAAAATATTCAGTCAAAGTACTTCACTAGCAATTCCTGGTTTTGATCCAGGGACCTTGGGGATATGAGCCCCACGCGCTTCCTCTGTGCTAAATTGCTTGGATGTACTCGTTGCTTTTCTGATGATTGAAACATTTTTTCTTGTTGCGGTAGTTGATAGTCTGTCGGACCGCAATTCCACAGCTGGAGTTGGTCGGGAAGGGGGCGAGTGGGTGAGTCACAGAAAGGTTGCGGGAATGTTTGACTATGACCACGCTAAGATGGGTGATTCTGAAGGGCTAGATGGAGGTTGTGTGAGAGTGCTTGAGTGGGAAGAATGGCAATCTGATAGAGTATTACTTGGATGTACTTGGGGGACTGGATGCGGGATTGTGTATTTCTCTATCTATACCTGGAAAATGACTGCACCATTTCGACGACATTGAACGAATGGAAATTGAGTTGCCATAAATACACATAATCTTGTCTCAAATTCCAATTCTTCTTAAGAAAGAGGCGACAAACGAAATCTAAGCCTTATCTAACTATCTTTTGAGCATATCCCCATCTCTAGCAGTGAGTAGTAATTATAGCAGCCTTCTGTGCTGCCCAGGAAGCATGCATCGACTGAATCTGCAAAGTAGTGCCCATCTGTATCACTGACTCATAAGTGATAGGAGCACGGAAACAGGTCCTATTTTGCTCTGAGATGTTGTTCAGAAACTTCATAGCCATACATATCTCGGTGTGTTTCTTCTGAGCAGTCGCCGTCCCTGTTGTAGCGTATAGAATTCTAGCTACGGCGTGGATATGAGGTTGAGCTAGTAAGCTGTTCATTATCTGCTCGCAGAGCGGCCCTAGTACGTCTTTATCGTCTATCGCAGCTAAGGCTTGGTCTAGGATATCGTCGTAGTCTGGTAGTGGTTGTGGGGGTGGTAATGGAGGGAGTTGTATGGTTGGAGAGGACATATTAATGTACGGAACTACTGATGGTTGCAAATTTACGAAAGATCCACCTGCAGCTGGCGTGAGGGTAGGCGCTGGGATGGGTGCTTGAGGGGATGCTGCTTGTTGCTGCCCAGGATATGCGGGAGGTACAATTTTGTCGAGGTTTGATATTATCTTCATGAGCCGATCGTGTAAGTCGGACCAAGGACATGGCAAGAATCTGGAAACGAAAATGCGGAAATCGTCGTGGAATGACGATATGGAATTCCGTGTGTCGAGAAGTAAGCCTGCCTCTTTCTCCATTGTCGACAGTAGCCCACAAATCTGTTTGTGAATATCCCAGAGTTGCTCTAGCAGTGGGACGAGATTGGCCATGATCGTCGGGGCCATGGGGTCGCTCTCGTAAGTAACGGAAATAATTTCGCTCTGTTCTCTGATGCTGTGTACTTTCAGATTACGCTCAACGGTCAGAGGCTGGTACAAGGCGACGAGGTTTTCCCTCGTAACTCTCGCATGCTCTTTTCGCTCCGCCGGTGTTAAAGCTGCCAGTCTCATAGTCTCTCTTGCTTCAATCTTTCGCATATATTCTTCGCAGTTCGCAAGATCCCCACGCAAAGGCATCCAGGCACCTTTTACCGTGTCGTAATATACCGTACTTATTGCTTTCGGGAGCTGGACAGCTTTCAACCCCATGGATCTGACTTGTACATCCCAAAAAGCATCCGAGTTCAAATTCTCGTAAAAGGTCACAGGTATGGGGTGAATCAACGCTGGGCTGGTAATAGCTGGGTTGATGAGTATTGGAAATTTAGACCTGGCTAGAACAGTGGGGAACTTTTTCGCAAATAGCGCGATCGATGGTGCTGCCGCACGCTCAACAATAGGAAGATGCTCTCGATCCATTTCCTGAACCAGATCGTCCCCGAATAATGCCTGTTCGAGTGAATGCCCAAGTCTATTAATGTTTGTGATCAGTAGAGAGATTTTTCGCTTGTAAAGAAAGGAGATTTGCTGGAAGTCGCGTACTCATTTTTTTGTTCTTGTTGATAGTATGGTTCAGGATACTCATGTGCTATGAATGTCCCGTTCTGGTAATTGTCGATGGCATACCATATGGCGTGCTATAAAATGTTAGGTAGATGGCGTAAACGAGGTGGCTTAACTCACCACAAACTCATGCACAATCGTCACGGCGATTTGAGAAGTTTGCAAAAGTCTCTCATTGCTGCTCAGATCTTCTCTCATCAGAGGTATGAATGATTGGCAAGAGAGGAAAATGTAAATATCCCCCCCTTTGCAGCTTGCAGTAGAACCAAGTGGATAACTCGCATTGTTCGGATTCATGGGTGGGCCTCCGAGTAGCGAATTGGTTTCTTTATAGACAAAGCCCAGTTTCAGTCTCGGCACGAACACGTCGCTGATCAAAGTGCGCAACACGTCGGCAGAACTTGGCCCTTTTAATCGCTCGTCTTGTGTGCGAGGCTGAAATTGTTTGTATCTCAATCTTTCGACTTTGTCCATTCTGATCAAATCCTCGAATGAAAATCTATCGTCCGGGGTAGCCTTCAAGGTCCCCGCGAGCAAAGCATCAAACTATCACTGTCAGCCTATTTCAGAGAAACTGTCTGGTAGAAAGTACCCAGGGCAACGATTCTAGTCGAGATAGAATCTGGCATGAAAGACGTAGGCAAGGTTCCAAGTGTTTCCATATCTTGGGCTCGTTGGCGTCCCAAGCTATTGTTCCTAATCTCGCATTCCCATACTGATCGGGCCCTAGGGTACTCTCGCGTAAGTCGTAAACGGGATTATTTTCTGGCACCCATCTGTTCTGCTGGAAAATCGGCCAAATTTGGTTTGTGAGATCATTTGGTTTAAGCTGCCGGTTGGTGAGACAATCGAGTTCTTGCAAGTCTTGAGAAGTATATCCCATCTAACACAAGACATCAGTATGGCCCTCAGTGAGCACCATGTCTCGGAATTGAGACCAGATTGTAAGGATTGATCAGGATTGAGTGTTCTTGGTCCGAGATCGCTGATAACAGATGACGGAAATAACGTACTAGCACTTTACGTTGGTACGTCTCGCTTTCGTCCCGAATCGCTTGCGTAGTAGACTGTGCGTTGTAGAACGCGGGGCCAATGGGCGTGAGTCCACTCTTTCCAGAGCCAGGGGGGCCACCGGGGAAAGTGCCATATTTCAAGGCATAAGATGTAGGTGCAGACATTGTCTATAGATCGTTCTCGAGCACTTTCTTGAGTGTTATGTTACGAGTTGCTTTCGTGATGTCGAAAGATTTCTTTTCTCTCCAAACAGCGTTGCAAAAGATCCCGATTCTTGTGGGCATTGTGGAAGAACAAAGAGAAATTTGGACTGGACGCACTCAGATTATTCTTTGTCAACACTCGTCAAGAGACCAACATGTGCGTTCCACAAACAAGGAAGCATGATAGAAGTCACGTGATAGATAGACAACATGAAATGAAAGAAAAGCGTCTTGAAATCGGAAAGCAGACAAAGTCTTCGGGGGGAAAGCAGCTAGGTGGATGATTCAATCTCGATGTATTCAAAGGATAATCACTTTCAGATTTCTCACTAACTCAATATCTTACCTTCAAACGTGTTCGGGGTCAGAAAGGTGATCTGACTACAGTTATTCACAATACTACCTATGATCAACATCTCCGCGGCGAAAGTGGATTCGGCCCATTGAACAAGCTTATTTGATATTGAGAGCTCAACACTTCTACTGACGGGTGAATTTGGTGGGAAACTGCCCGCGGTCATTTTCATACTAATTGCTAGGTTCGAAGACTAATACGTTGAGCCAACACCTTTGCATAATAGGAAAACGGATCTATGATACCATCACTTTCGCTTCTATTTTAGCATATAACGCGACTTGGTGTAATCGGCAGATTACTGATAAGGCTAGATCATATTGTGCTACCTAGAGTCTTGCAGGAGAGGTGTAGTAGGAGTTATATTGTTTGAGTGCCAGACTTTCCGAAAGAATCCCATTGTTGCAGCTGGGATGAGAACGTAGACACCTTTAGATAAGAAACACATTAAGATATGGCTCGTCCCTCTTGAAGCTGACATTCCGGTGTGATCTAATATTGCTCGGAGCAATAACCTCAATCTTAGACAACTGCAATACGAGGAATTACCAATTGTTATTGTGACTGATGAATCATTATTCGGGAATAGTACTCTCATTGTATATACCGGCCGTTATCCTCTCCATTCGTAGATTTTATTCGCTCCAAAAGGATTGTCTCACTTGATCGAACATGAAGCACTGGGGAATATGTTTTCTCTGCCGAGCGGGGGNGGGGGGTGGGGGGGCTGCAACGCTGACTCCAAAGGAGGAGGATGATGGGCGACAGCCACCAAGAACTGGGAGCATCACCTGCCGTTGTAGGATAACCCTATGATGAGTCCAAATTCCCATCAGGTATCTTTTGACTTCTCAAATGCAAAATTTTGAAATGGAGCTGTTCTGTACGTATTCTCCTGTGATAATTCAATAATCTAGCTTGCTTTCGTACGATTATCAAGGACTCCGAACGCGGATCTAGGCCATACATTACAAGTGATTGCAGGGCATGTCACGTGAAGGATACCCTCCTCTAGCTTGAGCGAGACTAGGTAGATGCCTTTATCTTACCGGTACTCCCAGGTAGGTCAACACTCGCCTTGTTTTCGCGGCCAGAGGTAGAGTCCCCTTCAGGAATGGATGTACTGTTTTTTGACTATCTATCTACATCTCCCTTCAAAATCAACATCTTTGCACATTGTACGAGCATCTATTTCGAACAATATTTCTAGCTCGTTCTTTGAGTACATACACAAATCACGACTGCTTCCCGCTGCAACCAAAATCATTATACAAACTGCAGCGAGAAACTTAGTTGCGACATGTTGGACCCGAGTATTGTTGCGACTGCATTCGCATGTACCACGTCTGCAACCGTTCTCCCGACACCTCCTCCTATTCCAAATGGTTCATTGCTCAGTCCGAGAATCCTTGCCATACGAGGGACCATAGTGCACACACCATGCAGACCCTACGAACAGGGGATTTTAGATCGGCTTCTGTCAAACTTTGACACTTTGGTTGACAAGCTTATTAATCCTAAAAGCGGGAATGAGCTGTTTGCCAATATGCCAT